ACGGTGGCTGCGATGATGGGCTCAAGTATAGCAGGGATTGTGGGGCTGGCGCGGGATCGGGCAGTGTTTCGTTCTGCTGTGCATGGGGTCGCTATGAATCGGAAACGACTTTACGACACTTAACAACAACAACAACAACTGGTAGCATGGCACTTGACTGCTAACCAGAAGGCTGGCGGTTCAAACCCACCAGCCACTCCCCAGAAGGAAGGTTGGGCAATCTACTTTTGTAATGATACCACCTTGGAAACCCAAGGAAGGGTCGTTATGAGTTGGGTCTGACTAGACAGCACATAATAACAACAATACCAGCCCATGAAGAAAAATTCCCAAAAGGAATATTTTATGAGGTAGTTTTTTTATCAACTTTTTTTTTATGTTCTTAGTGTTCATAATGGCATGTATTTGTGGGCTTTTTCATATATTTTTATGACCAAATTGGGTATTTTGGTCATATAAATTTCCAGGAAAAAAAAATGACATTACATCTATAGGAAGTACTGGATGACTATTAGCCACTTGTCTCCTATCTGTATTCCAGTAATTTTTCTATGTATTTCTTGTACATTTGAGATCATAGAGTATATGTAAGTTTTAGCTTTCCTTTTTCCCCTTTGCCATGTCTAAAATATTTTCCCAAGTCACTGAAAACTCTGTTCAACATAACTTTTGATGGCCACCTAACATTTTATGATATACATATATCATTATTTGCTTGATAATCCTCCAGTGTTTGTCCATGTCTCTTTTCAGCCCCATGGAACACAGTGTAATTATCATTATGATCTAATCATCTTATACCATAAAGAACAGGAACCTCAGAAAGCCTTTATCAGTTTTTGTTTTTGTCCAGTGCTTCCAAACACATTGTCACACCATCTGTACTGGGGTTACTAGGACATTAATTAAGTATACACCCATACTGTAACATGTGCATTGCTAATACATGTTTTTGCCTGCTTCAAAATTCTAGACTCAGGGAGAAATGATTATTTGTCCACCTTTCCTTACAGTTCCTCTGTTCCTGGGATAATTTCCAAGCTTAGTACTATTTCTGAATACTCATTTGTAGCATTCAGTTTACTCATCTAGTCTTATCAGCTCCATGATGTTTTCCAACCACTCTAGCCCACATGAGTATCTCCTTCCAGGGAACTGTCTGCACCTTTGCTTTAGGACTTTATTGCCAAGGATCTAGTTAAATGGAGTGGAGTTGAAGTGCAAACTAATGCATGGACTAAAAGGTTAAAGTGAGATTTTACTTTCTGAAGAATAACAAGATTCGACTTACAGCAACCCCTCCTTGGGTTTCTGAGGTAGTATCTCTACGGAAGTAGATTGCCCAATCTTCCTTCTGAGGAGTGGCTGGTGGGTTTGAACCACCACCCTTCTGGTTAGCAGTCAAATGCCTTACGCACTACGCCACCAGAGCTCCCAATATAGCATTTAGTATACATTATCTAAGTACAAATTCAAATGGTATTATTTCGTAATCATCTGAATTGGACAAAACTAAAGTAGAAAGTTGCTACTTACTTAGAATTCGGGCAAACCCAAAGTCACAGATCTTGATTATTCCTTGCTTAGTTATCAGAATATTTTCAGGTTTTACATCTCTGTGAATACACTGTAAGATAAATTTTGATTATTTCTCTGGGCTATCAAGAAGACAACGCTTAGTACACATCAACTATTAATTTTAAATGATGGATAAACAGTCTGGGAGATAAATTTACAAAGATGGGTTTCTTTCATTTTTCTAAAGGAAGGTTAACTGGCAAGCTTGAACTTGTAAATACTGTCATATCAAAAGGAAAAAATAAATCACCTGGAGATCTTGTTAAAACGCAGATTATGTTTCAGCAGGTCCGGGGTGGGCCGACAGTGTACATTTCTAAGGAGCTTCCAGGTGATCTCTAAGCAACGATACTTTGAGTAAAACCAAAAAACCCCAAACCCACGGCCATCAAGCTGATTCTGACTTATAGTGATCCTATAGGACACAGTAGTACTGCCACATAGGGTTTTCAAGGCTGTAAATCTGTATGGAAGCTGACTGCCTCATCTTTCTCCTGCAGAGTGGCTGATGAGTTCAAATCGCTGACCTTTTGGTTAGCAGCCAAGTGCTTTAATCACTGTGCTACCAGGGCTCCTCTACATCTGGAGTAGCAAGGCCTTAATCCCTTATTATTTTAACCTTCCTAATGTTGGCTAGGAGCTCTGGTAGCATAGTGGCTAAGACACTTGCCTGCTAACCAGACGGCTGGCGGTTCAAACCCACCAGCCACTCCTCGGAAGGA